AAAGCACAGCACTATATGGGCTGCTGTGAAGAAAGTTAACTTCTTAACTCCATCCTAGACAGACCCAGTACGGACAGTAGCCATCTCTTGTCTCTTTTACACATCCAGTTGCAACCACTCACCTGGGGTTTTTTTGCATTTTCTTGCCATCTTACTTGGACCTGGGTCTGCCTCTCCGGTGATACCCATTTTTTAAATGTCATTGTGTCAGCTCCATCATGTATACAGTGAACCATTCTCTGATGTCCTCAACGACCTCAGGAGTGCTCCCACCCAGAGATGCACATTTCCTTCATGCATGCTACCACAAACACCTCCAAATGAGCTCTTACGCACGTGTGTGCACATACACACCCATTTGTTCCTACCACAAATACAGCTCGAACATGAATCTAAGCCTCTGTGCTGGCAAGCTACTTAGTAACCTGAACTCTGAACACAAACTAGTCTGCACTAGTGAGCAGCACTTACAATAAAAATCACGTTATCTTCCCTTCTGGCTTCCCATCCAGACAATGTGGCAGCCTGGGAGTCATGTTAGGTCAAGAGATGTAGAAGTCTGAACTAGCTGCAGCTGCCTCAAACAGCTCTGGAAGGATCTTTGTCTTTGTTCAGTTTTGATCCCATTTTAATAGGCAAGAGTAACTGGTTTAAGGCAGCAGGCAGAGTCCCTGGGAAACCCACTGCTAGAGCAGACACTTGGCTTTGTCCGGTGCCTGGGCACCTCATGCAGAATGAGGACTTTGTGTTTGCTTTTAGAAGGTAACTAATTCATATAGGAGGCTCATGAATATTCAGCTTGTGCTTAGGATTGGGGAGAAAAATCCCTAAAACAAAGAGGCAAATTCTTTTACCCTTCACTTGGGGAAATGCAGTTCTCAGCCTACAGGCTGCGAGTAGCCTGTGAGTAGTCTCTGTCTGTCACAGTCGGATCCATTAATGACCCGTGTTTTTCCAAGCCTGAGCGTGCATCACTTCTGAAAAACAGATGCAGTCAGCGAGGGCTTGGAGTTAATGTTTCTGGATGAAGGAGAGTTTGGAGGTGAGTCCAAGAGTATAAGGAGGCAGGCTTAAGTCAGTCAA